ATCTCCTAAAATATGACCACTGCCCCCTGGTTTTGTCCTACAATCATTTTCATTCCATATAGGAAGATTACAATAAAAAGATGCAATAGACACCCACAAAAATCTCTTCTTGTTTGTTTCATTGAAATTAGCAGATATGCTGTACAGTATTTATAAAATATCATTTGACTGCAGCTGCATAAAGCCTGACAATATTTAAGTTCAATATTGTTGAAATAATGAAATGCTGTGTTCCTAAGAGTTGTACATTTTTAGAGTCAGTGCATATTTCTAAAAACTGAAAAGCTTTGAGTCCAAACTTCACTCTTTAAGCTCATGTCTGCACTGGTGCAAATTGGCAAAACATATTAGCATTGGATGCCCTTCAAAGACCTGATTTGTGCAATTTGCAGTATATTCTGTACTTTCTCTTCACCTATTTAATCTGCAGGTGTTTATGACCTGGATCAACAAACAAGCAAAGCAAACCGTCCTGAATACTTTGTTGCATAAAGAGGTATATTTGGCAGGTCTGCTCTGCTCTACCATTCTGCATTACCTTGATGAATTCAGAATTTTGCACAGATGGACCCTTTGGTCTAATGCAGCAAGACTGTTACTTATTTTCTGAATTCATTGAGTTCAGAAAATAAATAAGATTTAAAGGTGTTGAAAAACCAGAAATTCTGTCCACCCCAATTCCACATGGATTTTCTGAAAGGTGCAATGTCAATATTGGTTAGTAACACATTTGGACTCTCAAAATGTATGCCACACGATTTCAGTTATAGTGAGGGATTAAGGAATGCAACCTCACTATTTGGGATGGGTGGGATACAGTAATAGTCTTCAATTCTATTTTAAGAATAGAATTATATTCTATTATATTCTACTGTATACAAAAAGGCAAAGACCTCTAAGCAGGTAACAGAATGCCCCCTGGCTTAAATAGACTTTGGACACTGCCTTAAATGAGGAATCCATTCTATGACTGCAAGTTAGTGATAAGATGATTGATCAGCAAAGTATAAAAGAACCTATCATGTGGGATCTGCTTCTATTAATTATATACATCTGAAAACATGTCAATTGTTATTGATGTCAAAGGCAATATTCTTGGACACAAATAAAAGGCAGAAACATTTCTTTGTGTATTTACAATCGGGTGTATCTTATAAAGAGAAAAGGTAGGTCTATATGTGTGAGAGAGCCAGGAGGGGTAGGGATAAAAAAAGACTAACTAATAAAGAAAGCAGTTTTTATAAAAGTCAACAATGAAAATTTAGATTGTGACTTTCACATTATTTTTATCTGGGGGAAAATGTTAAAAAGTTAGGGGGGAAATGTTTAGGGTATGTATAGTAGTGGCTCCGATTTGGTAGTCCTTGGAATCCAGGGCGTCTGTGTAACTCATTCATTCACATAACAAAAACTACCATAGAGATATTGAAATTTCCAAAGTAGGGGGTCTGTGGCTTGGCTTTTGAAAAACAGGGGGTCTGTAGTACTTAGATAACTGGGAATCACTGATCTATAGGATTGTTACTGTTTAAACATAAATCTTGACATCTGAATGAAATTAATGATTGATTGCTGTTTAAATCTTGCAACAGTTGTATGGATAATGATCAAAAAAGTAATTTACAAGCAAATGAGAGATCACATCTTCCTCTACAGCAGCTCCTTCTGCCAAAAGGGCTACCCACTATTTATAAAAAGTGCTTTGAGGAAGACATCAAAGAGAACTATGGCTGCATTGCATCGGTCCCTTACTCACTTGAAAATATATATAAAGTTTAAGTTGAAATGTTGAAATTATTGTTAATAAAATAAAATGTTTGAATCGGTATTTTAAATAACGCGATAAAGCACTGGCGCTTTTGATGTCTTTGATAAATTTGTTGTCGGCAAATGTGTGGCATGACATCATTTGACCTGGCCAAGATTGTTGTGGGGCTGTAAACGGGTTTATTTGACAGTCACAAATCAAAGGAAATTCAGTCAGATGGCTTTCCTCCATTAAATGAGTTTGGTGGTCTCAGTCCAATTTATAGCAATCTCGATGTGTCAAAGATCAGCACTTCATTTGGTTGGAATAACAGTCTTCTTGACAACCATCAGGGATTCCAGTGAATAAACAAGAATGGAAACATCAAGATTACCTTTATTCCAAAAGCAAGTCCTGTCGAGTGGCAGTAGAACAACTTCCTCAGGACACAGAGGAGAATCTTGACTCAGGACTGAACACCATTTTGTTGCATCCAGACTCCAAGGATGGTGGTCTTTCACCTGCAAGCATAAACATTAAAAATCATTTTGGAATATAGCATGGTGAATGCACTGTGCGAACAGTACTTTTAAAATCATCTGCTGACTGATTATATACCATGAGAAGTGAAGCAGGGAGAATTTTAAGGGGACAACTCTCCTTAGAAGCAAGGCGTCTGGGCTTCTTTTCTGTCCTTATAACTCATTTCCGTGTGTGTGTGTGTGTGTGTGTGTGTGTATCAAAGTATTACCAAAACCTTTTTGCATTATCCTAAACCGGTCAAAGTGTTACATACATTTTCATAAGGGATCATTAACACATTTGTAAAAAGAAATTAAGTTGCAATTCTCACACTGTTGCATGTGCTCTGGGCAAAAACCCAGCTATACTTAGGTCCTCATGATCACACATATTACATAACTAAGTGAGGTTATCAGAGTTAACATGATCACTGAGAAACTGGCTTTAGTTGTGAAAAGCATTACTTGTGATAAAACTGGCTGTAAAACTATCTTCTACTAATAATTTAGGCTTACAACTTAATAGGGCATGCAAAAGTCCTTTACAACAATCAGTCCTTTCTTCTCATAGCAGGAACTTGTCTGATCCAGGAACTTTACACTATTGTTTATACAACTTCTCCCATTCTTTCCCTCATTCTCATACTATCCCCCATCCCCTTATTTCAATGACTGAAGAAGACTATATTCCCACAATATTGTGTGGTGGTCTGGCCACCTCTGAATTCCAGATCTGGATGCTACCTTTTAAGTAGGACATTGAGAAAATGGAGCATTTCCAGAAGAGAGCCACCTCATGCTGTTTGAAGTCTACATGAAACCACTGAGTAGGGTGATCTGGAATTTAGGAGTACGTTGTCAGCAATATGCTGATGACACAATGGTCTACTTCTCTTTTACATCTGCAGGTGTGGAAGTGGATGTGCTGTACCGTCGTCTTGCCTCAGTAATGGACTGGATGTCAACCAATAAACTGAAGCTCAATCCAGATAATATTAGGCACTGTTAGTGGGCAGTTCCTTAGACCGGATGGCTGGGAAGTTGCCTACTCTTGATGAGGTTACACTCCCTCTGAAAGAATATGTACGTTACTTGGGGTACTTCTGAATCCTTTGCTGTTGCTTGAGGTACAGATGGCTTTAGTGGCATGAAGTGTCTTCTAAAAGCTCCAGCTGTTCAAACACTTAAAACAGAAGCCTCTGCTCTATGGTCTCCTTTGTGGTGGTACCACAGTCATAGAATACTCTCCCGTCTGCGATGTATCTTGATGCCAAAACTGCTAACTTTTGAGAACTTTGCAAAAGAAAGTACTTCTTCACACAGCGCATGGTTAAACCATGGAATTCATTCCTACAAGGTGGCTTGAACAGCTTTAAAACAGGATTAGGCAAATGCACAGAGGATCGTGCTGTCAAGGCCCTCTAGCCATGCTGCCTATGTTTCAGCTCCTGTGTCAGTTCTGTTTTGCACCTCAGGTGCTTTTTGCCTGGCTGCAACTCTGATAATGCCTCCTGCTTGCCTAGACAGAGGATAAAAAGGAGTGTGTGGAAACTATGGCTGTGCACTGGATCTGGATGAGGCCTGACTCCTGAGCCAAACCAGGACTACTGGGGGGTGTCCAGGTCTTATTTACATTGAGTTGATATAGTCCTGGATTGCTATGGGTTGAGTGGCCAAGAGGCTGTCAGTGGGCAGGGTGTCAGAAGATGAGGCAGGCATGAGCAAGAAGAAGGAAAAATCACAAAATAGAAGCCTAGTACAGGGGTCGGCAATGTGTGGCCCATGGGCCAGATCCGGCCCACGAAGACCGTTTTACCGGCCCATGAGCTGCTCCCGAACCGAGCCACCCACTGGGCAAGTCCCCCATGCGCTGTGCTAAACCAGCACAGTGCTGTGTGGGGACTCGCTGAGAGGCACCTGAAATTGTGTCTACACACGCGCAGATGCCGGAAATAGCTTCTGTGCATGCCCAGGCACCAGAAATCGCTTCTGTGCAGGTGCAATTTTCGGTGTCTGGGCATGCACAGATGCGATTTCCGGTGTCAGCTGTGCTGGTCCAGCCCATCGACGATCTCCGCAGGAATGATCCGGCCCATGGCTGGTAAGCCTTGCCAACCCTTGGCCTAGTAGAATAGCAGCTCCATCTTCATGGGAGAAGGTGGAAGTGTCTTTTCCGCCAGGCCTGTGAATGGCTTCTTTGAGAGCAGCTCTCCTCGCACACAGGGAAGCTGCTTATGAAGGAACAGCACTGCAAAGGATCAGATCCTCCTAAATGCCAACTGTTCAGCAGGATAATTCAATCCTGCATAATACTGTTCACTAAGTGGTAAGATCACTTGCCAACTACTTGATAGACCTGACGGAGCCCAATTTGAGAAGAGCGTTTACTATGGCCCGTTTCCATTCTATACCCACGGCCTTCCTGCAGGGGATTTACTCTAAGACCCCTATTACTCAGCGTTTATGTCCATGCACAATGAATGAAGTAGAGGACTTCATACATTTCTTTTCTACTGCCCTATTTATGAGCCAATAAGACCTAAGCTCCTCCTCTTGATCCCGTCCACCATTACATCTAAGGAAGACTGTTTGAAATCGCTTCTTGTGGACGCAAATCCCCAAATTTCACGTGGGGTGGCAATCTTTATAGTGCAGGCTCTGAAACTCAGGGCTACTCTGACTGGGTAGTGTGTCCTAGACCTGGACCTGTTTTAATTCTTTTTATTACTTTTCAACCCAATGTGCCGAGCCTATTTTGGGGCCATTTTATGTTTTATATACATCCGCATTTTGGATTCTTGGCGCTGGCAACTAAATCTTTACATTATTGTCTTAGGGTAATTTAAATGTCATTACGCCAGTAATATTGCTTTGAATTTTGTTTGGTTGCTTGTCTCTAGTATTTTTGTCTTATTTTGCTATGGCTGTATGCTAATGCAATAAAGGTTTTGATTGATTGAATACTGTTCACTGCTCCTTCACAAAAAGCTTCCCTGAAAGCAAAGGAGCCTGTGGCATAATTAGGAGGGGACACAGGGGTTGGTTGGCCCAGGTGCAAAATTGTTAGGGGTACAAACTTTCAACACCCAGTGCTGTTCAGTACAGCTGTGTGCTTCCACAGTTGGGCTCCACTGAAAACAGCTTCTCCATGTGAATCAGGAAGTGACTCTTCTTTTCTCATCTCTGCAGCTGCAATCTCTTGAGTGACGCAGACACTGTTAAGCAGTTGAATGCACATGCGTACTCTGTTTCCCTCACACCCAGCCCCTCTGCATGACCCTGGCTGTTGGCAATCCATGCTACACCACTGAAAGGCACATCAACATGCAGGATCAGATCCTCACAGTGTACTAGTGCACCCCCTCCCAACCATATTTTTAAACTATTTCAACTATATGTTAAAATGTGGCCTTAAAAAACTCTTAATCCTCCCCCCAAATTGCTTTGGTGTCAGGGCAGGTGGCCACCAGAGCACTGCATGATGAATTGGTCCAATAAAAGGGCCACAGATTGGGGCCAAAGCACAGATTGGGGAGAGGGTTCATGCATAACCCTAGTATAGAATCATAGAATCATAGAATCATAGAATCATAGAGTTGGAAGAGACCACAAGGGCCATCGAGTCCAACCCCCTGCCAAGCAGGAAACACCATCAGAGCACTCCTGACATATGGTTGTCAAGCCTCTGCTTAAAGACCTCCAAAGAAGGAGACTCCACCACACTCCTTGGCAGCAAATTCCACTGTCAAACAGCTCTTACTGTCAGGAAGTTCTTCCTAATGTTTAGGTGGAATCTTCTTTCTTGTAGTTTGGATCCATTGCTCCGTGTCCGCTTCTCTGGAGCAGCAGAAAACAACCTTTCTCCCTCCTCTATGTGACATCCTTTTATATATTTGAACATGGCTATCATATCACCCCTAACCTCCTCTTCTCCAGGCTAAACATGCCCAGCTCTCTTAGCCATTCCTCATAAGGCATCGTTTCCAGGCCTTTGACCATTTTGGTTGCCCTCCTCTGGACACGTTCCAGTTTGTCAGTGTCCTTCTTGAACTGTGGTGCCCAGAACTGGACACAGTACTCCGGGTGAGGTCTGACCAGAGCAGAATACAGTGGCACTATTACTTCCCTTGATCTAGATGCTATACTCCTATTGATGCAGCCCAGAATTGCATTGGCTTTTTAGCTGCCGCGTCACACTGTTGGCTCATGTCAAGTTTGTGGTCAACCAAGACTCCTAGATCCTTTTCACATGTACTGCTCTCAAGCCAGGTGTCACCCATCTTGTATTTGTGCCTCTCATTTTTTTTGCCCAAGTGCAATACTTTACATTTCTCCCTGTTAAAATTCATCTTGTTTCTTTTGGCCCAGTTCTCTAATCTGTCAAGGTCGTTTTGAAGTGTGATCCTGTCCTCTGGGGTATTCGCCACCCCTCCCAGTTTGGTGTCATCTGCAAATTTGATCAGGATGCCCTTGAGTCCATCATCCAAGTCGTTGATAAAGATGTTGAATAAGACCGGGCCCAAGACAGAACCCTGTGGCACCCCACTAGTCACTCTTCTCCAGGATGAAGAGGAACCATTGATGAGCACCCTTTGGGTTCGGTCAGTCAGCCAGTTACAAATCCACTGAGTGGTAGCATAGTCAAGACCACATTTTACCAGCTTCTTTACAAGGATATCGTGAGGCACCTTGTCAAATGCCTTGCTGAAATCAAGGTAGGCTACATCCACTGCGTTCCCTTCATCTACCAGGCTTGTATTTCTGTCAAAAACGAGATCAGGTTAGTCTGACATGACTTATTTTTCAGAAATCCATGCTGACTATTGGTGATCACAGCATTCCTTTCTAGGTGCTCACAGACTGTTTGCTTAATGATCTGCTCCAGAATCTTCCCTGGTATTGATGTCAGACTGACTGGGCGGTAATTATTTGGGTCCTCTCTTTTCCCCTTTTTGAAAATAGGGACAACATTTGCCCTCCTCCAGTCTGCCGGGACTTCACCTGTTCTCCAGGAATTCTCAAAGATGACTGCCAGTGGTTCTGAGATCACATCTGCCAGTTCTTTTAATACTCTTGGATGCAGTTCATCTGGCCCTGGAGACTTGAATACATCTAAACTAGCCAAGTATTCTTGTACTATCTCCTTAGTTATTCTGGGCTGTGTTTCCTTTGCTGAATCATTTGCTCCAAATTCTTCAGGTCGGGCATTGTTTTCTTTATCGGAGAAGACTGAGGCAAAGAAGGCATTGAGGAGTTCAGACCTTTCTGTGTCCCCTGTTTGCATTTCACCATCTTCGCCTCTGAGTGACCCCACTGTTTCTTTGTTCTTCCTTTTGCTACGAACATACTGTTGATTTAAAGCAGAGTCTGGTTGCCCAGCGGAAGGATGAGGAATACGTGCTGCATACTCTATATTGCTTTATTTACAGTTCAAAGCTGGTATATTACAGAAAGACATCTTGCCTCTGCCGGAGCAGAAAATGCATCCTCTCTCCTCGACAGCTCGGAGAGAATCACTCAGTGAAAAACAGGAAACCAGTGTACGTCACATCCAGTCTCCCTTTCCCGTGAGAAACTCCAACAGTACAGACTGTGGAATGTAAACACCTGTCTCGTGACAAGCAGAGCTGCACAGTGAAGGAAAGCAGAAACTAACATCCTCCCCTTTCTGTGAACATCACTGGGCAGCGTGTTCGTACAATATCAGTACAAACCCAACTTCTGCACATAGGTACAGTGTTGATCCCTTGATACAATCTTGGACAATACATCAGCAGGAATTTCATTACCTGGCATATAGGACACCGTTACGAGTCCCTTCTGAATACATTCCCTAGCATGCTGCAACTTTAATTGTAAGTGCTTTATGCTTTGCTTACAACCTTCAGACTCCAGCAAAGCCAAACATGCTTTGTTGTCCTGGTAAACCTGGATTGGACATTTGACAGGAATTTTCATATCTTTGCACAATTGTACTAACCATTCACAATCCTTAAGTGAATAAGACAGTGCATTCAGTTCAGCTTCACAAGTACTTAAACTAATTGTTGTTTGCTTCTTGCATGACCAATCAAACAGACTCTGATTGTACATGTAGCAAACTCCAGACGTACTTTTCCTGTCTGTAGTGTCACTTCCAAAACTTGCATCTGCAAATATCTCAAGACCACCAGACTTCTGATTGTTAAATCTCAGTCTGTAATGCATAGTGCCTTTCAAATACCGCGCTATGCGTTTCAGAGCTTTCCAATCCTTGACACTAGGATTGTTGACTTGTCTGCTTAGCAAATTACAGCTAACAGCAATGTCTGGTCTTGAACATCTGGCAATGAAGTTTAGCTTGCCTAGCACACTCCTGTACAGTGTAGTGTCAGAAAATGCTTCTTCAGTGTCATCTACCTGATAACCTGTTGTCATCGGTGTGTCTACAGGGTTAGCATCCATCAGATTTAGTTTGCTTAACACATCAGCAATTTTCCGTGACTGGTGTACCAGAATGTTACCATCTTGATCTCTTTCTATTTCCAGAGATAGGTAGTTGTTTACCTCACCAAGATCTTTCATGTCAAAGTGCTCTTTCAGTTGAGCTAGGGCGCTATTGTACATTGCAACATCTTTCCAAAAGAATAATAAATCATCAACATAAAACAAACAGTACAGTTTCTTTTGCCCCTCCTCTTTGACAAATACACATGGATCAGCTTTCCCTTGCTGAAAACCTAGAGAAAACAATACTTCAGTGAGTTTTGTGTGCCAACACCGTGCACTTTGTTTGAGACCATAAAGGGATTTCTTCAGAGCACAAACAAATCCCTGTTTTACCTGTACGCCATCAGGTGGAAGCATATAAAGTGATTCATCTAGAGATCCGTACAGAAAAGCTGTATTAATATCATGGTGACTAATGTGTAGATTTTCCTCTGCAGCTAGCTTAAGCATAAGCCTAATGCTTTCATATCTCACTGTGGGTGAATAGGTCTCGTGATAGTCTTGACCTGGTACCTGTGCAAAACCTCTGGCTACCAATCTGGCTTTGTGTCTGACTATCTTGCCATTTTGATCTGTCTTCGCTTTGAAGACCCATTTGCTTCCAAGCAGTTTCATTCCTGGAACTACTGGAACTAGCTCCCATGTTTTGTTCCTTTCTAAGGAATCAAGCTCAGCCTTCATGGCATTTAACCATGGCTCAGCTTCCTTTGAATCCAAACCCTGGATTTCTTGGAAACTTGAAGGTTCAAATACCTTCTTGGAGCTTTTAACAGCTGTTACTGCTATCGTAGCAAACTCATCAGCAAATCTCTTTGGAGGTTTGCTTTTGTGGCTCTCTGTGACCTACGAATTAGCCTTAAGTCTTCAACACTCTCCTCTTCCTTCTTAGGAGAAAAACGACCTATTGTGAACAATGGTTCCTCCAATTCTTGATCAGAGCTTTCAGAGGGTCGCATAGAGGCTTTCGCACTCTTGAAATCCTCTGAATCACCCGATTCAGTTTCAGATTCAGACTCAGAACCTTCATCAGTGGGTGTGGGCTGTTGTGGTTGCTTTTGACTATCCTCAGTCTCATCACCGTCATCAGGATAACATTGGAAAATTCCCACATTCTCCCCCACTTTGCATTGTACTCAACACTTCTCGTGAGCTTAATTGTCTTAGAGTCAGTCATCATTATTCTGTAAGACCCTTTCTGATAACCTAGAAAGATACCATGCAATCCACGCTTGTCTAACTTGGAGTTTTGTGGTGAGCGAACCCACATGTCAGAACCAAAAATCTTCATGTGTTTGATGTATGGCTTCTTGCCAAACATCTTCTCATAGAGGTACAACCAATCGCTGAAGATAACCTGCGATTGTAACTGTAAACAAAACACGAGAGAGATTCAGCCCAATAACTCTCTGGAAGATTGGCATCATGCAGCAAGGTTTTTAACCCTTGAAGCAATGTCTGATTTGCCCGTTCCG